CCTCCCACCCCTCACACTCCCACTTCACACAGACTCCTGCCTTTAGGGAGAAGGTATCAGAGTCTCCAGGCCCACTCCACCGGACTTACAAACAGCTTCATCCACCAGGTTGTGAGGATGCTGAAACGCTGTCCATTACCTCCCTGCCTCTGCCCCTGGACTGTGACCCACCACAGAACATAAAAAGACTACCCCTGCTGTTGCACTAACTCAATACATTTCCCCCTTTTTGTTATATTATATGTAAATCTGCTGCTGACTGTTTTTTAACATCGTATCTGCTGCTGTTGGTCATTTGCACTACTGTCCATGTGCATCTCATAAGCTATTATGCATCTCATCACCAACTGGTGATGCTGACCACCTGACAATCTTCTAGTTATTATTTGCACTACTGTCACTGTTTGCACATGGTTTTGAGTTTCAAGTTTAAAGTGAATTGGTATCTTCCAGCTTCTGACTGGCTGAACACACCTGAGCCAGGTAATCAGCAGCAGGTCAGGCAGGGGATAGTTGGAAAACAAGCAGGACAGCGGCCCTCAAGGACTGGAATTGGCCACCCCGATATAAGGTCTCACAGTTCACACTGCATGTCAGGACAAAAACACACCAGTCTCACACCCTTACCTTCCAAGCAGAGTAATGTCCCAAGCACCAAGGCTGCCATGACTGACTCAGCATTTCCTCGGCTGGATACTCCCATAGGCAGCGGGTTGAGGAGCCACAGAGAAGAAACACGACGTGCAGTCTGAACAGAAATCCCCAAAGAACACAACTTTATCTGCACTGTGCAAGAAGCTACTAAGCTCCTCTGTGATTTTCACAAAACAAAACTAAAGAAGTGTGTTTGTAGTCAAAAATTATAAAATCCTTTAAGGAAAAATGATGGTACGAAACAATCAGACTGACAAACCTCAGAGCCCAGCCCTCGTAGGCAGAGGATTCTGTAGATGAGCAGTCCTGATAGCACATCACAAACAATGAACAGGATCTTGCCAAACACCATGCTGAGATAGATGTTGGGGGTGAGAAGCCAGGCCAGAAGAGGGGTGTAGCGGTAGGTTGATCTATTGTATGGGGACTGGCCCTGGGTACACATTTCCCCACATGAAAATGATGAATATTATATCAGAATAAAAAAAGAACCGATCCAGTAAAAATCAAACCATATATAGTGCATTCACACCACACCATTGTTTAAATGATAAATGGCAGATTTTGAAATGTTAAAGAATGAAGTTTTGTTAGAATATTTGAAATTCTGAAACATACCATAGCTAGTGGCAGAGAAGAAGCATTAAATGGAGAATAATCATATGTAAAGTACTTCAGGTTGAAATATCATATATATTATAATGTATATGTATATTATTTATCTTATCAGTAGCTTTCGGGTCATGTGACATGGTGACTCTTAATCAGTACCAGATATGATCAGACCACTTCTCTGGCCAAATGTTCCTGGTTTTCTTGGATGCAGTGATTGGAAGGACATGCTGTATTTTAAGAATCAGTGTGACTTACACTACAAACATGTCCTTACCTTTGATGTACACAATAAATAAAAGTCCATAAATCCCATATAAATCTAAAAAGACTCTTCCTACAACTGCAGAACTTGCCTGATAAACTTCTCTTTTTAAAAAGTATGTAACTAGCCCTGCCACAGTAGTCTGCAAATTCACATGTGCACTGCAAACAGGAGCTCCAAATAGCTAATTGGCATACTTAATTTTACAAAACGTAAACACATCTATAGGCTAAAAACGTGGATCATCTTGTAGCCTTTGGTGTAGGTTAATTACATCAAAACATAACCTTGCTTTTCGTTTCTTATAAAAGTTTACCTCGGTTTATGTAGTTCACGACTTTTAATGTAACATAATCCAAAAGACCTCAGAAAACATCATCTGAAAACTTGCATATCTACCGGAACACCGGCCAGGTTCTAGGCTCTGACTTTTTGTGAGTCAAAACTGGCAATACAGGATGAATTCGGGTAATTCAGAGAATGGTGATGTCAAAGTGACGGTAGTTACACAGCTGTTACCTCAGTGATGAACCTTGCAGCATCTGTGAACACATGGTAATCAATATCGGTGTACTTCACCGCCATAGTCCTGTCTTGGTAGTCTCCATAAGCGACCAAAGCCAGTCGAATAGCGAAGGAAGTGGTGTAAAGGACATGTTTCTCTGTGAGCTTTAATATCAGTCTCTCCATCACCAAACAAGGAAAACCAGACTGACAAGCCGAAACTTGGATGCGTTTACCAACAAGGAAAACCAAACTACAAGCCGAAACTTGGATGCGTTTACCAAACTGCCCGTTTCCACGGGGCCATCTCAGTTTGCCTTTAACGAGCAGACATTTCAGGCATGATTACTGTCATGATAAAAAAGCGCCTCGTTTTTAAACGGTAAACAGTACGAACCGGGCTCTAAACCATAGATCTACATAATCAGGAAGTTTGTCGGAAGTGCCTTTCTTCTTCGTGCTCATTGCGAATTGCAACCAGGCGGCGCGCTATCGCCACCTAATGTTGTGTTCTTGCAATCCCGTGTCTTCAAGATGAGCGAAGATACGACATACCATCGGCGTCACTAGGCCTTTTATTGGGGCACGACACACCGTATTGATCTACGGTGTCACACTAAAATCGCACGTTCAAACTCTAACAAGCTCCTATAACGTGAAAAGAAACGATTTGTTGTTCTAATGTCAAAGCAAAAGACAAGTGGAGGCACAAGTGAGTCAAGGTTCGTACGCCACGGTGCGCTCATATGCACGTCGTGAACGTCGTAGCTGGTGCACTGGAGCGCACGCAGCAATCCATGTACTACCAAGCTTAGGCTCAGACACTTAAACAGAGTAGAAACATAACTATGTGCTTATGCCCTAGCGCTCTGTAGTGCATGCAGCTAGAAAATCATAAGAAACAATCATCAATCAAACTAAGGTAATATTTATATAGGCAAATTTTATTTAGAATAAAGCTACAATTTTGCCTCCAAAATCTATTTTCATAATTTGTTGAAGCCTCTACACACCAATAGTCCCACTATTGAAATCTTCTAAGGACTGTTTTATCCAACCAAACAGATCTATTCATATGACAAAAATCACCAAAGCAAACACCACTGGCAAAGATGGAAACAGCTCATGTTGCAACAGCAAATTTATTTGAACAAAAAAGAATGGTTAAAAAATGTGGACATTATCTCCTCCCAGCAGCCCACATCTTATGAATCAGAAACTCTGCAGAGAGATCATATGAATTATTGCTGAGCTTTAAAATTCATCCATTGATCTAGATTGTGTAAAATCATGATTGGATTAAATGAAACCCATGAGTGACTTTTTTTGACTCGATGTCCAACCTTAGAAAACTGAAGTTAAAGAAGAAAACCTGGTGATGCAAATAGGACCAAACTGATCCATCGGAGATGAGGAGGCCAGCTGTAGACATCAGCGCCAACCTGTTTGGTCCTGAGAGTTGAGACGGACTTGATGAGATCTTGAACGGACTGTATCAGTAGAGGGAAGCTCAGTCAGCTTTACCTGAGTCCACCACCACCCTGGATGAGATGACTGCAGCAACTGAACTGTAACCTTTCCGCTGGAGTTGCTTTTTTTTCATGACTCTATTTGAAGACTTAGTTTGAATTTTGGAACTTTACCACAGAGTTGCACAAAGGCTATATCATTTTTCCATCAATAAATGGTGGAAGTACCTGGGCAGGCTAAATGGTTAGATTGAGTGATTATCCACACACTTGAAGTTGTGCTTTGATAAGTTGTAAGCCTATCTTGGTAAGTGTAGTTGTGCTGTTTTCAAAATCATCACCACCCAGATTTTAATAACTTCATTTTACTTTATGGTTAAATTTCTGAGTTGTCTCACTCTGCCAAGTTTCAGGGGGAAGATGCATGCTTCAGATAGGCCTGGTGAGGTAAAGCTTTGCATTTCATGTGCCTATTAGATTTTTCTGGACGTGGGAGTCCTCCCAGCAGGGGAATTTATCCCACCCCTTGCAAAGTAGTATCGCTGATGTGGGGATATGTTTAGCAGTTTCATACATAGATGGGACTGTTGTCAGACCTCTGGTATGCGGTAGATGTGATACCAGCCGGGAATGCATTTTGGGGTTCTTGGGAGGATGCAAGCCTGGCAGAGACAGACAACTCAGATGACTAAATAAGCTCTGGGACACTCACTTTGAGTGTATTTGCCTTATTTTCTGTGATGAGAATGATGGGAGTGATGACTATGAAAACTCACCCCAACTGGTCAAGGCAGAAGACTGCCCATCTTGAGCTAGGGTCTGCTCAGAGGTTTCTTCTGGTAAAGGGAGTTTTTCCCTCCCCACTGTTGCCAAGTGCTTGCTCAAGGGGGATTTGTTGGGTTTTTCTCTATATTGATAATAACAATAAGGTCTAGACCTTACTGTACTATGTAGTGTCCTGAGATGAGTTTTGTGTAAGGCTTCCTCTGCGCCACCTGCCCTTCTCCTTGTTCTTTCTCTCTCCCTCTCTGCAGGCTTTCTGTCCTGGCATAGCACACAGCTGTGTTGAGATACACAGCTGAGATTGGTTGCTTCATCACCAATCTCCTATTTAAGACTCAGGCAGAGGCTCCTCCAGGCCAGTATGTTGAGGATTACTTCCATGACACTTTGGCTATCCCTGTTGACGCTCCTAACACTACGACTTCTTTCTGCCCCTGCAACTCTTCACATCTCTCTAGCCTCCTAGCCTCCTAGCCATGCCATCTTTGTCCGTGTCCCTCCAAGCTCTCCAGCTACACTTGTCTTATCTCTCCTGGCTGACATCTTTCCTCCTCTGCTCTCAGGTCAGTCAGCATTAGCCACTACCAGCTGTACTCTTCATCTCCTGCGTACAGGTTCCTGAGTCAGAAAAGTTGTGATAGTTCAGGATTCTTCTCTTCAGAACCAAGGACGGCACATGTTGTTCCACTTCATATTCTCCATGTTTCTCTTTGCTGACAGAAAGTGAACAAACTCCCTTCAAAAATCCAGCAGGTTAGATTTGCTTTTATAAGAACAAACATAACATTGTATATACTGTATAAACCAAGCTGCACTAACTTAAATGTAACATCTTCTGGTGAAGTTGTAGCAGTAATACAAACATGGATTTACTGCAGTAAAAACTTTTAAAATTAGGCTGCTGCTGGCTGTCACTCCCCTTCTTTGGCCATGTGTAGCATTTAATGACCTGTATACAAAGTCCCCAAACACCTTTAAAAATCTGGTAGTGTATTTCTTTATTACAAACATACATGAAACTAATCATTTCTTGAATGTTAACTTCTCCTGGTAAGTTAGCCTTAAGTAGAAATACTTTAAATATCATCTTTAACAGTGGGCTCCTGCTGCTTTGTCATCAGTTTTTGTTTTACCACCACAATGTATACTTCTATTTCCATATAGCCATCATAGATTGTCATTAATCTTACCTTAATGTTTAAAAAAACATGAATGTACCAGTGTTCAACACTTCTAATAGTACCTCCAGGATTTGTCAGTCTTAATAACATGACTGTTGGAGCTTTAAAGTGAGCATAAAATTCAGTTTTTTGTTTTGTTTTTTTTCAGTCTCCAGGCATTACAGCTCATGCTATCTCAAGTTACAATTATTAAACCAAAAACAATTAAATATGGAGCACTGACATCTTTGACAACACATTAATCACAGAGTCAAAAGAACAACAAAACAGCGTCATTTTTTTGAGCAGTGTGTTTCCATATCCTTAATACAAACTTCCTCTCAGGCTGCCAGAACCTTTCTCCGTCATAGCTGCTCCCTATTTCTAATTGTTTGAACATAGTTTTTATTCATTAAAATCATTTTGGGTTACTTGCATTACTTTTCAAAAAAA